CAGTGGACTGCTAAACTGTGTCCAGTTGGGAGTTGGGAAGGGTCTGGAGAACCAGGAGAGGCTGAGGGAGCTGGGGGGGCTCAGCCTGGAGAAAAGGAGGCTCAGGGGGGACCTTCCCACTCTCTCCAACTCTCTGACAGGAGGGGGGAGCCAGGTGGGGGTTGGGCTCTGCCCCCAGGGAACAAAGGACAGGACAAAGGGAAATGGCCCCAAGTTGCACCAGGGGAGGTACGGGTTGGGTATTATGGAAAATTTCTTCACTGTTAGGGTGGTCAGGCATTGGCACAGGCTGTCCAGGGCAGTGGTAGAATCAACCATCCCTGGAAGTGTTCAAAACACATGTAGATGTGGCACTTAGGGACAGGGTTTAGTGGTGGATTTGACAGACACTTGACAGGTTGGACTTGATGATCTCAGAAGGATTTGTGCATCTCCTCCAGCTTTTGCTAACAGTCCTCAGAGTTAAACCAGGGGCCTGAACTGGAAGAGATGGAGCTCTCGAGAAGGGCACAAATTCTACATGGCCAATGTCAGAGCAGAGCTGAAAAGCAAATGAAGATGCTGCAAACTGATCCATCGCCAAAGCTCACAGTGGTCAGTGAGGAAGCACAGAGGAATACTCCACTCCCCAGTTCCAGGACCTGCAGAAGCTCCGTGCTTCCACAGAAAAGAGCTGATCCCAGCGAGAAGGTGCAAGTTGTACTCACTAGGTATCAGTGAAAATGGCTCCCTGCAATTTTATGTTATTGTTATGGCATAAATTTTAAATTCAATTTTAAATTCAGTTGAAATGTTAGAGCAGAGGAATGCCTGCTGGGTGAGGGCAGAGCAGCTGAAGCTGAAGACTTTCGGCAAAGTCTTCTTTGCAAAGAGAAAGTTTTACAAGAGAAGCTGTGAGAGTTGATATTACCCAGTTGTTATTGAAGGAATCATATTATTTCTTGATGACTAGGAAACAATGCAACTGCTGGCAATAAATGTTTTTAAGCTGACCTATGGGCTTCTGCAATCTTATGTCTTGCAGAAAGCTGAAAAAGGGGTAAGTTCCAGAAATAGACTCAAAGTCCCCAGAGAGCTGATGCTGATGGAGAGACCAATCAGCATTTAAATGACTCAGTGAGATGATTTGTTTGTCCTAGGAGGAAAATGCTCCATCCTAAGTATCACAGAGATTTTTAAAAAGTTATTGTGTGCTTAAGGGAGATGGTGTTTGTTGATATTTTGGAGACATACCTGAACATGGAAATTCTCCTTCTATAAATTTTGTGTGATAGTATATGGTTTAATTGCCACAACCCAAGAGATAAGAAAGGGATGCCTCACATGGCAGTAAATGACACAAAATGATGATACAAAATCGGAGCAAGACTGCAATGAGTGACAAATTCTGTCCCCAACATTTTTTTAAACCTAAGCAATTTTTCTTTCTTCAATTTGTTTTATTTTTGCAACTATTTTTCACCAAGTGGCAGGACTGCCTAAAACTTTGAGCACTGAAGTAGTAACACAGAGAAGCACCCTGCCCACAGGGTGACCTCACAGTCACTTGCAGACTCGGCAGTAAGGAGAGGGCTGGGAGCTCTTCTCCTGCTGCAAGAACTGGAAAATATTGGGGCAGCAGCTCCACAGCAAGACACACCAGGGCGAGAAAGGAGGATAAATATTAAGGGAAATCATGTAAAACAAGTGTTTCCCGTGGATAATACACGTATCTGTTACACCCAGGCAGATGTACCCTTCAGGTCACAGTGGCTGTTCCACAGCCCACGTCCGTGTTCATCTCGCTCTGGGACCGACTTTCGTTAACAAAGGAACCAACTGATAACGTTCAACTCTGCTCTTGCCCTGACATGGTTATTCCTTAGTTCTTCCTAATGACTGTTCAGTTCCTTCCTTCTCCAGAGCCACTCCTAATTCTCTTCTGTTCAGGTTGGATAATGAGTCACTGACTTTAATACCAATCACTATTAACCCTGCCCTTACACAACCAACATCTGGGAACAGTGAAATGTGTTGTGTCTCAGTGCTGAGGGAGAAGATTGATGATTCCTGCAGGCTTTCTGCTGCTGGTTGATGAAAAAACACCTTGTTTGCCTTGTGCCTTTGATTAATTGCTCTCTAAATCTAGTGTAGTCTACCTACTTCACAGAGTAATTTTGTTTTCCATAAATTTCACTTCTTTTCCATTGTCATTGCCTGGTCAAAGTTTTAGTTTGTGTCAAATAACTTCTGGAAGCACCTTATTTGCTGTTGTGCTTTTCCTCTCTCTTTTCTCTGGGGAGGGAGGGTCATGTTTGTGGCTGGGCAGTTCCACTGAGCCTCCCTGACTCCATGGGAAGAGTCAGGATGGTAACAGCCAGGCTCCTGGTCGCACACGTTCTGGGCTAGTTTCCTTCTTAAACAACAACAAAACAGAAAAACCACCCATGAGTAAATTTATCATCTTTTATTTACAGATGATGTGCCATTCCCAAAACTACTGAGCCTAAAGATCCTGTGCTATTAACAACAGCAATTGAATTCTTCCTGACTCAGCTACCGATCACTTACAACTTAGGGAATGGCCTGTTTGTGATCAACCTTTGCACTGTTAGAGCATTGAATATGTGTAGGCCTGTCAGATCACCTGCTTTTAGCACCTCGTGTATGGCAGTACTTGCTGTTTTGACCAAATTTCGGTGATTTTGGGGATATTTGGATTTCTAGGTTCTTTCTTCTTGATCCGCTTTCCTTCTATTAGCACTGCTGACGTACTATCATATTTTTTTGTGTCCTTCAAAGTGTTCTACAGTGTTTTATTATTTTGATATTATCAAAACACGTCTATTCTGGTAGGAGAATCTAAGAGTTCTAAGGGAATGGTAGTTTGGAAAGAGATCAGGCTATTTACATAGCAAACCACGCTCTCAGATTACTGCAAAAACAGACTTTTAAGAAGAAACGTACACTTCTCATGATTACTTCCACAGCTTTTTCAGTATTCTTTATTCCACCATCCTGATGCTGCACCAGTCGGCCTCGGATGCACATCCCTGGCGCCTGCCAGCGAGCCAGCCCACTCCTGCTGCAACAGCTATTCCCTGCTGGGAATATTTACTGTGGGTGCCAATCCAGCCTGACTGAAACCTCATTAACAATACGCTTTTTCCTGATTAATAAAATATTAATGTGAACATACAGCATCAGCAGCTTGACATTTTCTGTAGTTTTCCAACACCTGCACAGCACAGAACTGCTCAGGTACTGTGACATCACTGCAATGACAAACTTGCAGGCAACTTCTGATGCTTGGGGACAGTCCTCATCTTGGTCTTTTAAAAAAATAATTTCATCTGGTAAAACTGAAGACAGATAATTCCTCACTGCCTGTGCAGCAAAGAGTAGGTCTCTTGCCCAATAATCAATATTTATGCTCATTTATGGGTTTCTTCCCCAACAATTGATACTTATGCTCATTTACCAGTCGTGGCAGCAGTGCAAACAGTCACCTTAAACTTGTCCAAGGTGGAAAGGCCATCAAAATCATTTAGGGAGGTAACTGTCTCTCTCTACTCTGCAGTGGTGTGGCCCCACCTCGAGTCTTGTGTGCAGCTGTAGGTGCCAAAATACAAGAAGGATCTAAAGCTATTAGAGAGCATCTAAAGGAGGGCAATGAAGATGGTGAAGGGCCCTGAGGGGCCATGACAGGAGCAGCTGAGGGTACTTGGTCTGTTCAGTCTGGAGGAGACAGGTCAGACCTCACCGGGGTCTGCAGTTTCCTCACGAGGGGCAGCTCTGACCTCTGCTCTGTGTGAGCAGGGAGAGGACCCAGGAAACGGCTGGAGCTGTGTTAGGGCAGGTTTAGGCTGGATATCAGGTAGAGGTTCTTCCCCCAGAGGGTGGCTGGGCACTGACCAGGCTCCCCAGGGCACTTGCCACAGCCTCAAGGCTGCCAGAGCTCAAGAAGCGTTTGGACAACGCTCTCAGGGGCAGGGTGGGATTGTTGGGGTGTCTGTGCAGCGCCAGGGGTTGGACTGGATGATCCCTGTGGGTCCCTTCCAGCTCAGGATATTCTGCGCTCTGGAGGCTTTAGAGCAGCAGCGAACGCTCAGCGGGTGCGGCCGGGCCCGGCCGGCACATCCACCGCTCACTGCCGGCTCTGTGCGCAGGGGAAGGCGCCGTTCCCAGGCCGGGCGCGGCCCCGCGGCTCCTCGGCCCGACCCGAACCCGTGCGGGGGCGCTTCTGCCGCCCCGTCACGACCGAGGGTCTCCGAGCAACAGGTGCCCGGGACGCCGCTTCCCCGGGCCGGTCCCGCCGCGGGGCTGAGGGGCCGGCGCAGCCCGGGAACGCCCGGCGGCACGGCCGGATCGCCGCCGGTGCTGCCCCGGCTCCCGTCTCGGGTCCCCCCGCCGCCGCTCCCGCCCCCGGCCCCCTCCCCTTCCCCGCCACTCGCTTCCGCCGCGCTCCCGCGCATGCCCGGGTTATGCAACGGCCGCGGCGGGCGGGCCGGGCCGGGCAGGAGCCGCAGGGCAGGGCAGGGCAGGGGGGCCCTGAGGGGCTGCGGGCACCGGGCACAGGCGGCGGCGCCGAGGCCGCTCCGCTCCCTCCGCCGCGCTCCCGCCGCGGCCCCGCGCGGTGTGTGAGTGGCAGCGGCGCGGCCGCCAAGTCCCGCCCGTTCCGCTCTCGCTGCCGCAGGCGGCGGCAGCGGCGGGTTGGCTTCCTGCGCGCCCGGCCGCTCCCCCGCCCCCCGGCAGTCGGAGCCGCAGCCGCCCGGATCCCCGAGCCATGGCTCTGTGAGCGCAGCACATGGCGGCCGCGGCAGCCATGAGCCCCCCACTAATCCATACAACTCCCCCCTGATCGGCCACCGACGGCAGCCAGCGCTCCCACCCGGCTCCACCGCTCCCACCGCCCGCCCGCCGCCGCCGCGCCGCCCGGCCCGAGCCCAGACCCCGCTGCCGCCGCCGCCGCCACCGCCGGGCCCCTGCTCGCCTGCCCGCCGCCGCCGCCCGGTCCTCACCATGGGAGTGCAGGGATTCCAGGACTACATCGAGAAGCACTGCCCCAGCGCCGTGGTGCCCGTCGAGCTGCAGAAGCTGGCGCGGGGCAGCCTCGTGGGTGGGGGCCGCCAGCGGCCCCCCCAGACCCCGCTGCGCCTCCTCATCGATGCCGACAACTGCCTGCACCGGCTCTACGGCGGCTTCTACACGGACTGGGTGAGCGGTGGGCAGTGGAACCACATGCTGGGCTACCTGGCGGCCCTGGCCAAGGCCTGCTTCAACGGGAACATCGAGCTCTTCGTCTTCTTCAACGGCGCCCTGGAGAAGGCCCGGCTGCACGAGTGGGTGAAGCGCCAGGGCAACGAGCGCCAGACGGCGCAGCAGATCGTCAGCCACGTCCAGAACAAGGGCACCCCGCCGCCCAAGGTCTGGTTCCTGCCGCCCGTCTGCATGGCGCACTGCATCCGCCTGGCCCTCATCCGCTTCCACATCAAGGTGAGGAGGAGCCCGGGGGTCCCGGCGCCCCCTCCCCGCCGCTCCCCCTCGGCCGCTCCAAGATGGCAGCGGGGGCTGCCCGCGGGGGAGGGGGGGCACCGTCCGCCGCTCCCCTCAGCGCCTCAAAATGTCGCCCGGACCCGCGGGGGCGGCACAACTTTCGGCGGCCTCAATCCCCGGGGGATTTCGGCTGATTTCCAGGGCGCTGCCCGCCGCCCCGCCGAGGCCGGAGGCCGGGAGGCCTTGACGGGGTGAGCGGCAGCGCCCGTGGCCCGGCCCGGCCCGGCAGCAGGGCGGCTTCTGCCTCCATGTTCTTTCGCTCCCTTGACTCAAAATGTCCCTTCTTGCCTTGTGGGCTGTGGTACCGCAGGGGAGAGCGGGTGAGCGAAAAGCATCTCTGTAGTTAATTATTGAGAGTAGGGGGAAAAATAATTAATCAGTTTAGTTCTCGCGCAGGGTGGATCTGCAACAAGTTCCCGGCTGAGGCGAGGTGTTTAAACTTGGGCTGGAGGGGAAATGGCTCGCTGCGAAAAGCACAGAGGTGCAGTTTCGGCTTTATGGAGGTTTTTGTGTTTTGCTCAGTGTTTTCCCGGTATCAACAAGCGTTTAAAATCAGGCGTAGAATAACTCTCACCTTACTCCGTAACAGCAACACTTCCAGTTAGTGCAATCAGCAGCGCCGAGCTGACAGTCCTTCATTTAAACTTCTTATTTTAAGGGGCAGCCCCAGTTTTCCGGCCCCATAAACAGCCCTTCGTGCCGGATCTGGGCTCCATAGCCATCTTGCACTGGAAGGCCATGATTTCAAAGGTTGCAGGATATGACCACGTCGCATCTCTCCGCACGACGTTCCTGATTTACGATGGTTTCTGTTCAGCCGAGCGATTGTGTGCATTGAAACACAAGACGCTGGAAAAACAAGCCCGGGGATGAAGCTGCAGTTTTAGGAGTTGCCTGCTCGCCTTCCTGCTGCGGAGGGAAGAGCAGCAGGAGGGAAGCACGTACTCGTAGGCTTTATTATCCTAAACTACTTTTGTGTGTAGAAAAATATTATGTAACCTTCGGAGTTGCATGCTCGATCACTAGCAGCAGCTTAATGTTATTTGGCCTTTTGCCGGATTAGAAACTCTCTGGCAGGGCTGCGGTCCTGGGGTACAGATGCCTCTCTCCGAGGAGCTCACCCCAGAGGTGACTTTGGGTGAAGTTTCTCATAGTTCTGCCAACGGGGCGGGAGCTGCTGTTGCTCCCTCGTAGTGCCCTGCTCGCTGGGCCAGACCCATCCATGGAGGAACTCGGAGCTGGAGTGCAGCCACCCCGGGCTGGCAGCGGGTGTTCAGCGGTGGAAGTCCCATCCTGTTGCCGGGATTGGGTCACCAGGCCAGGGCCACCTCGTGAGTGGAACAAACTGGAAGCGGAGGCGAAGCTCATTCTTGCAGGGCCCGTCGAGCTCTGCCAAGCACGATGCCTTGGGCTTGGCCTTGGTTAAAGTGAGGAGGTTATGGCCGTGTGTGCTGCAGTCGTGTGTTTTCCTGGCCAGCCTAGAAGCAGAATTGTGTAATGGTATTTTGGATGGTGGGAATTTGCACGATAGCAAAAGCATACTCTCATTTGAACTTTTGGGGATTTTTTTGTAGCTAGGAAATACTTTTGTTCTTCAAGCAAAAAGTTTTAGGCCCCATGCAGTGAAGGTCTTTACCTTGATCTGTTTGTGGGTGCATTATAAATCTTCCTTCATTTGTTATTGAGAGTTAGAGATCGTTTGTAAAAGCAATGAATGGGGTAAAATAAGAATGTTGTTTTCTTTTAATGTATTAAAATGGAGACTTGGTTTAATGCAATACTGAAATGCATAGTACCTGACAGGAAGGCAGCTAGTTTGATATCAGTGGGAATGTGGTGTTTGTAGCAGTTTTGTGGCATGTTGAACTGGGGGTTAGTTTGTTAAACGCTTTCTGTCTCAGACCTGGCTCAGGTACCTTACATCCAAACCAAACTGCCACATTTGGCAGTGGTGTCACCTGTAGCACTTTGTTTACTTTCAAGCTTAGCTGCAGCATTAGCTCCTTTATGGTTTCTTGGTAACAGGCCTTATTCCTAATCTCTGGAAGCAGCCATAGGAGTACACATCATACCGAGTCCCTTTTCTGTCATTAGAAAAATACCCCAAACTCCCCAAATCCCCATAAGTACAACATCCTCCCAGTTTTGATGAAGAAGGTTTGTGGGGTGGGTATTTATGTCAGGTTAGCCCTGGGAGCTGGCAGCTCATTACCAGATACTGGGGGCCTGGGGGGAGAGCTTGTGGCTGTTCACACCCCTGAGCCACCACCTTGCATGTCCAAACTGTGCTGGCTCTCCCCACTGCTCAGCTGTCCTGGGGGTGGGAAGGGTATCAGCAATTCCCGTTTGATGCCTCATTTTTTCAGTTGTTGAGAAACTCTGTGGATAAATCTGGTTTTAATGGATTCATTTTCAGGATAGGAAGGATATTGCATGGTTATAGTGGTCACATGCATAATACACATCAAAGATACTGCTGAGCTTAAATCATGTTTCTTCTCTGCTTTTCTTCTTCTCTGACATGATTTATTATCTTTCTAAATCTGCTTTATTACATATATCTTTCTTTCTCTAAACCTTCCTCCAGTTTTATTCTTGCTCTCACTTTGACATAGCCCTCCTGATGGGCAAAGAGCAAATGCATCTTGAAGGTGTGATTTTTTTATTTGCATGTACGGGTGATTTTAAAAATTTGCATATGCATAAGACAGTTGTTAAATTGTGGTGTTTTCTTGCTTTGTTTTGAGAAGCTGGGTTTGAGAATACTGATTGACTTTAAATATGAAACCGATTTTCATATTTTTAGGAAGCATTTGAGTCTTGAGTAGAAGGTTTCTGTGTGAAGCTAGGGACTGGCTATGAATTTAATCTATTTTGGTAATTAGAGGGGAGAAAAAGAGTAATGTCTTCCATCCAGAGCAATTATAAATCACTCACAGATGGTTTCAGCAGGATGTAAAAATAACAGGTTCCTCCAGGTTATAACAAATATCCCGCGGGTTCTTAGCTTCATTGTGACCTGGTATTTTTCAGTTTGGGGGAAATAATTCTTACAAGAAACTTTTATGTGAAGTAGGTTTGCTAAAATTTAAATATTTATGCAGTGGAGATCTTAACATTAATGCTTTGGGGAGGCTGTTTTGCTCTCAGTACCTAAAGGTGCTTGTGCCCATTTACTCAGGCAGGATTCTCTCCTGAGCCAGCACTGTTAGTGTTTACACAAGATTTTAGACTTGAAAATGATTCCAAACTCCTGGCTGTGATTTCCCCCGTGTCCCCCTGCCTGGGTTGGTTTTGAACCCTGCACATTGCCTGGGTATGTCTGTGTTTGTGAGAGCCACGAGATATTTCTGACTCTCATCTTGGTAGAGTTTTACGGTGTGGGTTAACTGTACTTTGGTAAATACAGCTCCTTTCCCTGTGGTGGTTCAGTTATTTGAACATGGATTCTGGTATTCCCTGAACAGCCAGCAGCTTGGAGCTCTGTGAAACAGGGAGGGACCTGGGGGCTGTGGAGGTAGAGGAAGTAGCTCAGAGGAGATGAGAGCGGGCACACCGAGCTTCCTCCTGTGTTATCTGCACCCCTGTCACACCTTGTGCTGCAGGAGGAGTTCTCACTTGTTTTTTTTATAGTTCATGGGTCTTTGCTGTGCATGCAGAGAGGTTGAGTTTAGATATATTAGTATAATTGAAATCTATCTACCCTTAATTAAAAAAACATCAGAGGGATTTTTCTAATTTAAAACCTGTGAAGACTGGGGCCTGCAGGTGGGGTGAAGCCTAAGTTGCCCTCCTTTAGTTAGGAACTATCTGATGTCTTTAAATTCTTCCAAAGATGTTTATGGTTTCTCCCACTCCTTGTGCTGGGGGATAGCATCATTGTTAGAAAATAAATACCTGTGTTTTTCTCATGAACAAAGTAAATTTCAAAAACACTCCATCGAGGAAGTTTCTGAAGAAGTAACATTTTCTGAAGACTACAAGGTGGTAGGATTAGGAGGAGGGAGAGCTTAGTGAGCTGGTGTTTGATCAGGAACATCACAGGCAAGGCACTGGCTGTTCTGCTGCTCAGGATTTAACTTGGAAGGGAACGTCTCATGAAGGTACATGAGAGAAGCAAAATTTGACATACCTCCCTGGAATACCATAATTCAGCATCAGGTTCAAGTGCAAGGCATGAGTAGAAGAAGAAGGGTCTCTGTTAACTTGCTGTGAATGACTAAGGGGGGCTGCTGGATAGGGCTGTTGAGTTTGGGACCCTCTCTCCTGTTGTGCAGAGGATATAAATGGCCTGGCTGGCACTAAGGCTGTAGTTATTCATGCATGCTGTGGAGAGTGAGGCTAATAGTTTTGTACTGATCTATTTTGGGATAGCTTGCTATCTACAGTGTTGTTTAAATGGAATACTCGGTGAGGGGAGGTTATACCAACACCCAGCTTGCAAGGGGGTTTCCAAATCACCGTGTCTTATGTGTGTGGATGGGGGAAGCATTGGGGATCCAAAGCTGGCTGGAGTTGTGTGTGTGCACACTGGAGTTGTAGCGGTTCCTGATGGTGTGTAGGATTGCAGGACGGC